TGGTGACTGTGGAGGCCTTTTGAGTACAGGTAACTCATTGTCGTGTTGAAGAAACCAGTCTGAGATGATTCACGCTTTATGACATGGCATGTTATCCTGCTGGAAGTAGCCATCAGAAGATGGGTACACTGTGGTCCTAAAGGGATGGACAGGGTCAGCAACAATACTTAGGTAGGCTATGGCATGGACACAGTGCTCAATTGGTACTAATGGGTTCAATGTGTGCCAAGAATATTTCCCCCACATTATTACATCGCCACCACCAGTTTGAACTGTTGATACAAGGCAGGATGGATCCATGCTTTCATGTTGTTGACGTCAAATTCTGGTACTACCATCCAAATGTCGCAGCAGAAATCGAGACTCATCAGATTAGGAAACTTTTTTCAGTCTTCTATTCTCCAATTTTGGTGAGCATATGTGAATTGTAGTTTCTTCTTAGCTCACAGGAGTGGCACCCGGTGTGGTCTCCTGCTGCTGTAGCCCATCCGCCTCAAGGTTGGTTGTGTTGCGCCTTAAGTGATGCTCTTCTGCATACCTCGGTTGTAACGAGTGGTTATTTGAGTTTGATGGATTCAGATTTCTGCTTTCCAATCCGTCCCAGCGTGGATCAACATTTATTCTTCTTTTTCATTACTTTATTAATATGATTATTAGAATAATGAATAAAGTTAACCCATTGCTTAATATAAGAATGTTCAGTGTGTGTGCCTGTCTCTTTGTAACTCTATTTATAGGAGCCTTCGAATTAGGTCAGAGGTCATGAAGACCTCGAGTGGAACTGAAGGGCTCGCTGATAGAAAACAACTGTACAACTGTTTTCGTATTCGTACTGATATGAGATTATACTGTCTAAAGTGATTTTGATATTATTATTATGTGTTAATTCTGTTTAAAGTGATCATACTTTTTATTCAAAATAGACTTTGCGTATAAGGATATAACTGCCTGAATGTAGATTATATCGTTTTTTCACCAGTTTTGATAAAGGTGGCTGAGAGTACACTCAACCTTGGGTAAGAAACAGATTGTACTTTAAGTGTGTGTGTTCTATTTCATTGTGGATCTTTTTTCATAGGTCTGGGGTCAGCTTTAAACAGTCTAGAGAATGTCTGTTTTGTACGCACGCACCCATGTGGAAATTGACTAGTCTATCTGTGTTTTAACCAATCAGGTCAGAACACCTATATGTATGACAGAGTTAATGACGTTATGTGAAAGTATAATTCTTATTAAAGAGCCCATATTATACGTGAAATAGGGTCATATTTTGGTTGTAAGGGTCTCCAACAACAGTCTAATATGCATGCAAGGTCAAAAAACACTTTCTTTATCTTGTAATCTGCATTTATTTTGTCTAATTATACCAGCGACTCCCATATGAATCGTTCAGTGATTCATTTGTTCCCAAAACCCTCCTTAGCGTGAAGCTAATCTGCGCTGATTGGACCGATGACCGTCTGTTGCGATTGGTTGACATTGACTGCCTTTAGCACGAGACAGAGTGAATTGCTCAGCAGCTAATCAACAATATAAAAGTAGTCAGAGTGCATACACGCTTCATAGTGTAAGGCGTGGATTTTGGCAGCCAGTAGGTGAATGTAAAAAAAAACGATGGACTTGAAAATACAGACGACTAACTATTTTATTGAGCAAAAACTCCAAGAACTGGCGAGGAGATCTCCGAGCTCTGCTCTTTTCACACACATACACACGCACACACGCACACACACACACACACACACACACACACACACACACACACACACACACACACACACATTACCCTCGACCTTGAACGATGTGCACACACACACACACACACACATATACACACACATACATTACCCTCCTCCTCGGACGATCGACACCGCGCGCGCACACACACACACGCACACACACACATTTCCCTCCTCCTCGGACGACACCGCGCGCGCGTACACACACACACACACACACACACACACACACACACACACCCACACACACATTACCCTTGACCTTGAACGACGCACACACACACACACACACACATATACACACACACACATTACCCTCCTCCTCGGACGATCAACACCGCGTGCGTGCACACACACACACGCACACACACATTTCCCTCCTCCTCGGATGACACCGCGCGCCTACACACACACACACACACACACACACACACACACACACACACACATTAGACACACACATTAGACACACACACATTAGACACACACACATTACCCTCCTCCTTGGACAACACCGCGTGCGTGCACACACACACAAACACTCACACATTACCCTCCTCCTTGGACAACACCGCGCGCGCCCACACGCACACACAAACAGACACACACACACACACACACACACACACAGTACCCTCGGAGTAGGAGGACACCCACACACATACACACATTACCCTCATCCACAGAGGTCCGTAAACAAAGCGACACGCGTTGCGTTTTTAACGTGGGTTTACACGCGATATGAGAATATAGCGAGTAACCTGATACAGTACACGTGGTGGCCAAACACAACTAAATACATTTGCAAGCTAGAGTAAACGAGGCAACAAATTTAGCTGGATATTTCACTTTACTAAGAGCTGTGTTACACACTACATGGAAGGCCATTTTTAAAAAAACCCATAATATGGGCTTTTTAGATTGTGATTGTGAGCAGAATGGCTTAGAAACTCATTGCGAGTGTTGGAGTTGGGTTCTGCGGATGAAACTGGAAACTATCTTCAGTAAACTTTATTTATGTATTTGAATCTCTGGCTCTTCTTTATCTGACAGCCAGATCATTCTTTGGGTTAAAACTGTAAATTATTGCTACAAGTTACTGTTGCCTTTCTATCAGCTTAAACCAGTCTGGCCATTCTCCTCTGACCTCTGGCGTCAACAAAGCATTTGCGCTCACTGGATATTTTCTCTCTTTTGGACCATGAACTGTTAAACCTGTGCGTGAAAACCCAATAGATCCGCACTGTCTGAAATATTCAGACCAGCCTGTCTGGCACTGACAACCAAAAATCACCTTAAATCACCTTTCTTCCTCATTCTAATGCTGAACTGAAATGGAGCAGTTCGTCTTGACCATGGCTGTATTTCAATTCCATAAAGGCAGAAAACAGACTCGTGTTCTTGTGGAGACGGTTCTTGACAAGTTATCTTGGTAGAACAAACTCGAGATACTGTGAGTATAAAGAATGCATCCTATGATAAATGAGATGCTGCGTTCTTTCTGAAGGTCACATGACTTTCACGCGTTTTAATGAAAAATTATTTAAACATGAAGGCATTCATACAATAATTTATTGTTTTTGCCCTTTTCACAATATATATTATGCATAAAGACCTTACAAACATACATTGCACAATACAAATAAAACATTTTAATACAAATATCAGCCCAACCCCCCCCCCCCCCCCCCCCCCCCCCCCCAAAAAAAAAAAAACACCCTTAATGTGTTAATGGCCCAGATTTTCACTGTAATGTTTACTTTCACTATCTTTTTAGGTAAACTCCTCAGTCAAATAAGTTAAATCTCTGAATTTTAATATTGTTTTCAAACAAATGGTATGTTTATGACTATATCTATATATGTTTATTCACAAATAATAATAAATTAAAAAAACGGAAGGCTTTGTGCCTTGCGGTCAAAAACTGCTCCTGTCTTCACTGCTTGTCGAGGTGTCAGCTGCAAATATCTTATTAATTTGGATGGCGTCATGCATTCGTTAGCAAGAACTTTGGTGCAGATAATGCACTGTGGCTGGGTCAGGGACTCTGCTTTGAGAAAATTAAATAAAACCGTAGTTCAGGTAATTATCTTGGTATTTCCTGCAAGTCGTTTTTCCAGTATTGCTAGCGCTGTTACCCAAAATGTTCAGAGCTTCCTCACCTGGGTCCAATATGCTTAGGTGATTACTAGGCGAATCGGTGAGAATCTTTTTTTTGTTGGGGACGAATTACAAATTCATCAATTTGTCAAATGAATAAGGCAACATGATTGCTCTCCTAATTGCCCACTGCTAATTTAGTTTTTTTTTAAATATGATGTGAGCCCCCCACAGAGCTTGCTGAGGTCCTCTTGTGGGCCAGGACCCCCCTGTTGGGAACCGCTTGATGTATATAACAGTGGAATAGGCTTAGCTTATTTGTAAAGAAAATTACCTAAATCTCCATTTGATGACTTTGTGGAGCCTAAAGATGACTCTGTTGGTATTTCATTCATGTTATAGACAGTAACAGTTTACATGGGCACCAATAATCCAATTTAAATACAATTAAGACAATACTGATTAAGAATCTACCATGTAAACAGCTTTTTTTTATTAATATAATCAAATTAAGGTCTTAATTTGACTAAACAAAAATCAGAATTAAGACATGTGGAGTATGCCAATTTTAGTTGCATTATTTAAGGGCAGTACAGACATGTAAACACCTTAATTAAACTGTCGTGTAGGATTTTTCCCATATTTTGCAACAGGATGAACACACACGGCTGTTTGACACTATTTTCTGCACCTATCTAGTCCGTAGGACCACAGACACACACACACCACGAAATGCGGAGAATTTTTTTTCTATACGCAAGCAGTATCAAATTCCATTAAAACAACACTCTTCCAGCAGATAAGGCTCGCATCCAATATCCTTTTGTCTTGGGGGCATGCATGAAGTGTTCCTAAATGAAAGGGAAAGTGCCAAACTGTAGTTAAAGTCAGCAGATTAAAACACACAAAATTACATTAAAATCCTGAGGAAATGTGAATGGTGGTGACGCAGTGACGTTAATTGAATTATGCGCTATAACATGTTACCGGATCATAAAAGGAACATTCAAAAAGCAATTCATGTAATCACCTTAATCATATTATTGTCTTATTCAGATTAAGGCAAATCATTTGATTACTGATGTCCATGTCAATGTAGTCATTGTTTGTTAATTTGTGCTGGTGTGCCAGTTCTTGTCAAGGAGGCATTTTGTTGCAGGAGTTGTCTCTCTTTTGGTACACAGCAGCTGCTATTAGAATTTGCAAGTCTAAACAAAATCAGTCAAAACAGATCTGTCTTTTGGAATGCTTTATTAATGCAAAAAAAGCAATGGAAAAGTATTAAGCAAAAGTTTTCCTTTTTCTAAGGCTTGAAAGTCTAATAGTCCATCTTATCCATCTTTGTCAAGCATGAAAATATATTTGAGAGTTACAGCATCATGAGCTTTCCATTATCACCCTTAAAGTGAGTCATACCTGAGTTATTGAAAGCTAATTCAAGCCTCTGCATGTCTTTGACCAGAACACCGTTTCTTGAGCTGAAAATGTCAGCCAGAGAGGCAGCCATTGGCGACGGCTTGTGTTCATCACACTGTGGGCCCTGTAGACTGGGTGCACATTTCACCTCATAGCTGAAAAATAAGGTGCCATGATTTAAAGCACATCCATCATTAACAACTCCACTGCTAACTTTAACAGAACATGTACCAAGATGATCACAATTCCAGCCGTCATCGTCGTCATATACTTCAAAAGTTAATGTACTGCCGATTTTGATATTAATATGACCAAAATTAAATGATTCTGACCAACGTGGATTGTCATTATCATCAATAATCTGAGTGCGTTTGTTTTGTCCTTGATGTCTGACTTCTACATAACCATCTGTTTGAGTCCATGTATCTCCATACAGACCGTTGGCTCTGAGATTGTAGACCTTCAGGGTGGCGAGCCCTTTTTCAGTTGGACAGCAGTTAGTCTTCATAATTCGGCTACTTTCACAAACACAAACACAAGGATCTCTTGCACTGCTCTTCTTACCAAGCTTACAAGGCTCAGAGCAAACCTTCCTGAGGGCATTTTCAATGATGTATTCTTCAACAGCTTTCTTTAGCCCTTTTCTGGCAGGGTGTTTATCGCTCAGTAAGAAATGGAGGGGTTTCAGAGTATACTGCACAACATCAGGGACGCTCTTCAAAGACTCAAGCCAGCCTTTAAGGGCATTTTTGTGTGATGAACCAGAAAAAAGTAGATCTTCTCCGTTTATCTTTCCTCCAATTATCTCTGTCTGACGCTCACTAAACTTGCTGCTCATCTTAAGATTTGTGCCCAACTTCTGTTTAAGTTCTCGACATAAACGTGCCTCTGCCTCCACAGTTAATGCTTTATATATGCCCGAGGCTTCGACATCCAAACAGTCTTTGATTGCAGTGTCTGAAAGTCCACCAATTGAAGCCTCACAGGTTTTTATGGCTGTTATGGCTTTCATGTGTCCCCCTAACATTACACTTGTGGTATAGTGAGTGCCGTATGTGGAGATCAGACTGCGGTAGGCAAATTTATCATAAGATGCAGGGAGTAATTTGATTGCTTGAAGAAACTCAGCATGAAGAGGAGGCTTTTGAACAACGTGATATCTGTAAAGAAACATGAAATGTTTTAGAAGTAAGTTTCTTTTAATTGATTATAAGTAAAAACAACTCAGCTCTTTCTCACCTGTAAAAGTTACATTCGACTTGGTGTTTGGTGAAACTGTATTTGTCTCGTTTGGATTTCTGCATTGCAAATTTTGCTTCCCTGGAATGAGTGCCTCCAACTGTAGCTCCAGAAAGTTTAACACTTAAATCTGCTTTCCAGTCGCCTGAGATAGCTGAAGACGATTCTTCGACCACTGCTTCACTTGATTCAAAGATCTGACCGGAGACTTTCATTGAACACTTTGGCAAGGTCCTCCAGAAGTCAACTGCAGCTGGTAGCTTCTGCTTGATTCCATTCATGTATTGGTTTGTGCGCATGTTACAGGTGCCGTTTCCTAAATCCCATTTCTCTGTGTTGATCACGTAAGTACCTTTGCGCTCCAGGGTCACAACATCAAATCCTTCACCAGCAAGATTGTATCCTGGAACAAAGTGAGCATTTTCACACTCTTTTAAAGTGCCTATTTCAACTTCTCCAGAAATGGCAATGAGAAGCATAGCCCAGAAAACTAACAGGTAAACCGGTACGTGCCTCATGATCTGTTGAGAGAAAAGGAAATATGAACGTTTCTAGCATAACTTAAAAACCTAATATATATATTTTTAGATTCTTACCACTGAATTCACAGGTGGTCTGAACAAAGTGATTCTGAAATATTCTCACGCTCTCAGTTCATTTTATATCACAGTTTTGTAGTTGCTGGGGGCGTGGGTGTTTCAGTGATGTCAAGATGCAGTGACATCTTAAAGCCTTTTCTGTTTTGTCTTTATTTCATTTGCTCCTATGTAGTGTTTTTCTATCCACTTCGCTCCTGGTTGTGCCTTCTTGTTTACCCTTGTCTCACCCCATTAGTCCTCATTTCAATAATTGTGCTTCCTGCCCCTTGTGTGGCTGCCTCAATCTGTACTCTCTTCTTTCATGTTCTTGTCAGATAGTTTTGTGCTATAGTTGGCCTACGTTTTGGTGCAAATAGAAACTACTCTTGTGTTTTTTTCAGAAACCATGCACAAGCTCTAGTGGAACTTTTTTTTCTATAACAGCGTTGATAATTGTGTCACAGTAGAGTGTGCAGGTACAGCTGGCATGCTTGCCAACACAATGGGAAAAGGCTAAAGATGTTGACTGTGCTGATTGTTGTAATGTAAAAATATTACAGCAGGGGCTTTCAGCAGGAGGTGCCTGCATGATTCACTAAAACAAAGCCTTTTAAAAGAGTCATTTGTTTGGACTCTTAATAGGCAATATATATTTTCTTGAATTATATGGCATTTTTATGTCCTTAAAATTATGCACACCTCCTGCAAATAGGCCCAGGAACTGATTTAAATTTAATACATTGGGTTCACAGTGTTGTGGAGGCAATGCTTTTTCTCAGGGTGGCAATTGCCACACTCTGCCACAACAGGATATCTGCCCTGATGGTTTGGATCATGTGGCTCTGTGATGACATGTGTAGTGGATGGCATAGTTTTGTAGCACATGTTATTTAAAGGCAAGAGTGTCAGGGTCCTCCAATTAAAGCTCTTTTTATTTTTTGACACACATTGACACATTCAGGGCTCTATTTTGACGGTCCATGCGCAAAGTGCAAAGCGCAGGGTGCAAACGCTTTCAGGGCGTGTCGGAATCGATTTTGCAAATATAAGAACAGAAAAATCTGCTTTGTGCCATGGTGCATGATCTAAAAGGGTTAAGCTTATTTTCCTAATGAGTTATAGATGTGTTTTGAGAATAAACCAATCAGAGTCTCATCTCCCATTCCCTTTAAGAGCCAGCTGCGTCGCACCATAAGCACATTTGCTATTTTCATGACATAAAGTGAAAAAACTGAGCATTTCACTAGCAAGAAAACAGTTAAACAGAGCATCATCAGCGCGAGAATGAGAGATAAGGCATCTCATAATCTACTTTCACTTTCGCTCTCGTGGATAGGGAAACCTTGTACGCACAGACATCAATTGGTCTATAAATAATTAATTTTGTTTGTTAAGCGCAAAGATTCGTTTCAAAACTATTTCTAAATTCAGTTCTAATTTCCAGCAAACGAATAAATAAACAATAACAACGAAGTGTGATCAAAAACCTGAGTTATATCCTAATACACATGCTGTGCCCCATATGGTCTAAAATCTGACATGGACAAATCTTTGCTTGTTTTTAATAAAACAAATATAAATATGCTTATAATAAATAATACTGATGATAATAATAACATTATACCAAAGCAATTTGTTATGAATGAACTTAAAAAGCCTCCCGAGATGAAGAAGACATGAAGGCAGTGGTTTTTAAATCTATGTAGGCTAGAAAATATGTTTTGTAATATTTTTTATCCTTTATATTTATATCCTTTATATATTCTTATTATATCCTATATATATATACTTAATATTTAAATTATTTTTCCTTTTTAAAGATATTTGCGTATTGCTCTACATCTTGTGTGTATTAAGCAGTGTGTAACAGGTGCACAACTAACACGCTCTGCGCTGGACTTAAGACCGGCTTTGTTCTGGTTTAATAAAAAATCTATTATAGTTTTTCAAAATAGCAACGCGCCAGCAATGCACCTCAGAACGCCTATGGGCACACAAATGAGCGCAAATTTGCTATTTAATAGGGGTGTCAAAATTAGTCGTTTCTTCAATGCACCGCGATGCAGACGCGGACAATTCGGTATCGGTTTAGTAATAATCATAACCGGTTATTACTGACGCCATTTACCTCATATGCGCTCTGTCGCGAGGGAGTCGACCGCGAGTATTTACAACGCTCTAACTACTTAATACTCATGAACTGTGCACAATTTCACTGTGTGTGTTTGAGAATGAAAGTAGCCTACCCCATCTCTCTCTCTCTCTCGCTCGCTCTCGCTCTGCCTCTGTCTCTCTCTCTTTCTTACACACACAGTGGCCCATTTGACCTGCTGGCGTGACTTTTCTTTTCCTCTCGGTTGTTTTACAGTGTTACTTTTGGATACAGAAACGAGCGCGTGTCTGCAGAGTTTTCTCCACCGTGTCTATCATAGATCAGCTGTGAGATCGCCGCTGCCACCTGCCGCTTATCTTTCATCTGAAGAGCGCAGCGCGCAAGAGCCAATCGCAACCGTTTTTGTTAAGGGTGTAACCAATCAAAGAGGTGTAATAGAACTAGACAAGGATCAGAAATTGAGCTGGATATTTATATTTGTTTATATTATTTGCTAAATGCTCCATTTTTTAAAAGTTGCAGTTTATATATCTGACTGTTTGTATTAAATTACACAATTGTATTACAAATAATAGCCTATATAAATATAAATATATTCATACATTTTAATACAAGAGCTGCTGCTGTGCAGAAAATATAAAAGCATCGTCAATGCACCGTGATGCACCGAACTATCGAATTGAACCGAATCGATGGCATGATAATCGTAACCGAACCAAACCGTGAGACTAGTGTAGGTTCACAGCTCTACTATTTAAACAGTAAGGCGGAAAACGTCAAAACGACTCTTGCGCCAAGCTGAAACTAGCAAACAACAATTGCATCGCGCCTTGCGCCACATTGTGCCGGGTATGTGATAGGGCCCTCAGTATTAACCAACAAAGTGGCAGTACGGGTGTAGAAACAGCTGATGGGGGCCATAGCAACGACAAACGGCAGGGAATCGCAAGCTCACAAATGAATTTAAATCAGTAAAGATGTCTCATTTTCAATGTAGTTTAAGACGTGATTTGTGAATATAAAGAGCTAACCAGATACAGTACAAGTTGCTTTAAGTGATTAAGTAACAAGTAACATTTCACAACTAAATTTTTTTTTTTTTTTTTTTTTTTGCAAGCTAGAGGCAACAAAGAGGCAATCATTGTAATCTTACAGCTTTAGATCCTGAAGAAGAAGAAACTGGTCCATATGAACTGTGCACTGACAAAAGTTCCTGTTAAGGTCTGGCAAAGTCCCATATTTTCATCAAATAGTCTTTGCTGATACTTCCTTCAACCAGAGATGGGAAGTAACGAAGTACAAATACTTTGTTACTGTACTTAAGTAGATTTTTCTGGCAACAGTACTTTACTCCACTACTTTTTACTTGTACTTTTCCTGGCTATCATGCACCGCACGTGGGCTACTTTATGAAGATGACTATAAGAAAGGCAAGGATTACTACGCAGGTGTGACAGGGGAAGTCGGCGAATTTAACATGACTGATGCTGTCCTTTTTCACACTAATAAGACACCTTTTACTCGTTCGGATCATTGGTAAACAATAGAAACACATTTCAGTTAAAAAAACAGGCCGTTTAAATGCTTAAACCTTTTGCCCACTTCCGTTCATACTGCACAGGCTTTCACTGGTCTTTCATTCTAATACCATGAAATATAGTTTTTTGTAAAGATTTGTTCATTTAGTACTAAAACAATCAAATACTTTATAAAAAAATGTATGCATTGTGGTTTATTTCCTTTATTTCTGATAAGTTCATATTTCCTAATACAAAATTTATGCTGTTTTTCAGTTTTTATTGATTTTCTATTGACTATATGATTTTGCATATACATGTAGGCCTATACTGTTGTCCTCAATTAATAGTTTTTAACAAATATTTTACAACAACAAAAGTAACTTTACTGGGCAATTTATGAATAAAAATATAATGCAAAAGATCCTGAATTTATTACGTGAAAAAAAGATCATGCACATGTTTTGTAGGTTGTAGTCATGCATGTATATGTTGCTTTTAGAATAAATGTATTGCAGGTTTTCTCAGTCACTTCAGTACATTTCTCACATCAGAATTAAAAGCCAGTCTCCTGCTCAGAATCCTTAGTTCATCTCTCAAAACTAAGTTTCTGTGTTAATGAACATGTCAGTGGCATCAGAATGACATGATTCTAGCTACTTAATAGTCATGTTGTCAAAAACAGTGTACTCTGGAGGGCTGTACTGATGTAAACTATGACAACATTTTTTGGCCATTTGTACTGTAAATAGTTGCCAGATCATGTCATTGTGATATAGAAAAGAAAAAAAAAAACAGCACTGCAAAGCACAAATATCAGACAAATTAAACATGTGAATATAGGACAACCTCCTTTTAGACCGATTTAGAAAAAAGTCTAAAGGAAATCTATAAAAAAGTCATTATGACAAAATATTACGACAACCTGTTCAGCCATTTTTATGTAAAGACTGAAGAAATGATCCCTGAAGAATCCCTGAAGAAATGATTAAATGTTTTGGGGAGTGAGACTATTAAGAGACCAAATACAGAGACTAAAATAATAAATTTTGAAGCAATTGATAATGTAGGAAACATCAGAGTATTGCACATAATCATTTGAAACTTGTTCATAATGAGAAACTGCTGTGTACAAGTGACACAATGATGATCTGAAAATTGAACAGGGAGTTTTGAGAATTTTAATTCTGATCTGAGAAATGGACCAAAGTGACTGAGAAAAACTGTAGCAGAACTCATGTTTATTAATTAAACAAAACAACCACATTACCCTGGAAAAAAATACCAAAATAACAGGTTATTTATGAGAGCTACTTTTTAAGAGAATAAAGCAGCATTAGCATAATGCAAAAAATAGTTTGCAGTCAAATATGATAAGTATTTATAAATATATATATACGCGTATTCGTATTTGACCATTCGGTATGAGGCTTTCGGTTCGGTACGCATTACAAACCGAACGATACTCCACCCACGAAAGTTGCTGACTCCAAGAGGAGGGATTCTGCGAAACCAAACATCGCAATGTGCGCTCAAGATCCTGATTGGCTCTCTCTGTCTGACCGTTACTCTGAAGATGAAAACCAGAGGAAAGACTAACAGTGGCCCCCAATAAACGACAGAATTCTCTCCAGAAATAAGAGACAAACTGAGGCCCCCTGTCAGAAACCCTGCTGTCGGGAGGCCATGAATGCGAAAGACGTGATTAATGAGAGCAACCGCTGTCTCTCTGGCTGACGGTAATTTGGGCAGAGGGACAAAATAAGCAGCCTTTGAGAACCTGTCCACCACGGTTAAAACTACCAAGTTGCCATTAGAGGATGAAAGACCCTTAACAAAATCTAGTGAGATGTGTGACCAGGGTCTTGAAGGCACTGACTGCGGTTGAAGGAGTCCAGCCATTGGGCGATTGGAAAACTTAGAAACAGCACAGACAGAGCAAGCCAAAACAAA